CATTGACACCTTGTGAATGTTGCACCTATGCTGCTGGTTGTTGCCACTTTCGTCATTGCTTGATCCTAGGCTTTCAGTGCATTTCACTTTCTGATATGTTACACTTTCGCAGGGGCCATGCTAATCTTCTCTGTATCGTTCCAATTTTAACGGATGTCCCGAAGGACTATGCTAGAGTAGTCTGCTGCTGCAGTGGCGCATTCAGGGTGTCTGTGGTGCATGGTCTATAAATGATGGCAGGCGTTCATCGTAGTGCCCTCCCCGCTCAGCAATCGGTGAGAACGAAACAGTCTGGATGTATCTGGTGCATGGTCTATAAATGATGGCAGGCGTTCGTCGTAGTGCACTCCACGCTGAGCAATCGGTGAGAACCAAACAGTCTGGAGGTATCTGGTCTCAAGCTAAGTCCACAAACATCGAGGGGGTCAGGGGTTCAACTTTTGTTTGTTGTGACCATGAGCAAGGTGATGAATCCTTCCCGGCGAGTCCCCGTTTTGGATGTGTAAACTGCCTTCAAGCTGTCTGAGCTCATCCGCTGCCTTGCTGCCACCCGCGTGGCATTCCTTTCCCTCCAGATTTGTTCCTTTGCCGTGTGGTTTGGTTGCCTTGTCGGTGTCGTGCAGTTTGGCTGCGTTGTCAGCAGCCTCAGCACTGCCTTACGCTTCACGGTGTGGTTGCCCTGCTACCGTGCTACGGTGCTACCTTCCCACTTCCCACTTCCCACTTGCGCTGTCGTTCCGTCCATCAACCTCAGGCTCCTGTTCGTTTGACAAGATTTTGTCAGTACGAGTGGCACTTTTTTTTTTTTTTTTTTTTTTTTTTGGGGAGTGAGTCCGAGTGACACTTTTAGTTAGCTTGTGCTTTGGTCACGGGAATACAGTCACTCGTACTGACAAAATCTCGTCAAACAAAAACAAGAGGTTGATCGTGAAGAGAGATGGAACACCTGCCTTCGATTGAGTGGAAGTGCTCATCAGCAGATATCTTTGACGAGTAAATAATAGAGATGCAGTAAATAATAGAGATGCAGTAAATAATAGAGATGCAGTAAATAATAGAGATGCAGTAAATAATACAGATGCTCTTTTCCGTAATTGAGCGCGAATTTCATCCAACGGCTGTGATTTTACCAACAGTTTAGGTAACAGCGCAGGCAAATCATGTCGTGACTACCGGTAGTCATCCATCCATCATAACAAAAGTCATCTCCTCTTCAAGCATTGTTTGTATCAGACTATGCTCGCGTGCTTGTCAGCAACATCTTGGTTGGTTCACCCCGGTTCCAGGGAGACGAGTATTGCTGTCAGCCTCCATGCAGGTGCAAGATCTGCATTGAGGCTCCTCTCTCTCTCTCTCTCTCTCTCTCTCTCTCTCTCTCTCTCTCTCTCTCTCTCTCTCTCT